GGACATTGTCGTTATTAATTTATTATGAAAATCTAAACGACTTAAGTGGAATAATATGGGATAAATTATTAAAATTTATGTGCTTTCGAAGCGGGCATTCAACGATGTCGTCTAGTTTTGGCCGCCATCCGGTGGAGCAACTGGAGTGGAGACAGCGAGTGCCATTTGAAAGGCAGCCAAAGTTTTTGGGCATACTTCACTTTAATTTCTTTTGGCTGACGCTTTGCAGGAGCACGGGAGCTGTGGAGAAAGATGGTCCAGGAAGTGGAAGTTGAGTGATTAAGTGGGCCGCTTTTTGCACTTATGCTTTTTGCATAATTTGTCAGCCTAATTTTGGTCAAAAGGGAGGGGGGTAGAAGTACTTAGGAGGCGACAGAACCTGAGCAGACTCGTAAAAGTTGACTCACGAGTCGCAAGTTTTAATTAAAGGACCTCGAAGAGATTTAGTGTCACTTTCGGATCTGTAATTTGTTGCTGCTACAAGGATTTTTATGTCCGCCAAGCTGCAGACTGTCAACTGTGTGTCTGGCTGTTAAAATTTCGATTCGTTTTATTGAAATTAATCGAATAATGGCCAGATGCCAGCCAGAGAATCGAAGTGGGCTAAACAAAAGAGGGAAGAAAGTCCGGATTCCGGATTCCGGGACTGTGACTCCGTGAGTTTTATGGCGCACTTGTTTCGCGTTAATCGCAAATCGTAAACTAAGCATTTTTACGGCACCTGCGGTAATGGATTACTAAAGCACGAGCTCCGCCATACGCACCCCGCAATCGTCATTGGTTGGAAAATTAATAAAGTTAAGTGTCGAGCACAGTAAAAATGGAACTTCGGGCAAAGAGGCATGCCAACAAGTTAGCGAGGCGTGAAACGCTTGCCCGGCGGCAATGTCAAGCACATGGGACTGGGGTTATTGCTTTGGTTTGCAATAATTGCAAAAGTGCAATAAATTTCTTTTATTTCTGGGCTTAAACTCAAAGTTGGAGGCAATAAAAAGCAACTAGGCTGCGGGCGGGGTCAAGTGTATTGTATTTCATCGCCATTCCCATGCACCTGGGTCGATTTAAAAGAGTCGTACGCATGAAATTAAAATATCATTGCCAACCTCAAAAATCTAAGAATACTAATTATTCCATATGCTAATACTGGAAATACTCAGAAAGCTGTAAGATTTATTTATCTGAACACCTAACTATTTATCTCAACTTGCTATATCACCTATTTTCAAATTATTATAATTATAAATGTTTATGTGTATGTTAATTTATTCTGAAATATTTATTTTTCCCTTACCATTATGATGATGGTCCTTTTATAAATCAATTTTTAAATAAATGTGCTGGCAAGTGCAAAAGTAACATTTGCCGAATCTTTATTTTGCAAAGTGCCTTTTCGCGAGCTCAGCAGTTCGTGGTGATGAATTGTGATCTGTGACTTGCAAACGGGGCGTATGCGTAATGTGCCTGATTGTTGACTGGAATGGCAGTGCTGCCACCTTCTGATTGGGATTTATGGCACGTTCTCGTCTCCCCGGCATCGCCATTGTGCCGGGCATAATGCGGGCGGTCGGGGGTTCTGCAGACACATTAGCGGGCCAGAGCGCCATATCAATGACCTCACACGTGCTCCTTCCGCTGTCAATTACCGGGCCGGGTCGTCGTTTCTCCTGGCCAAACACCCCGCGACATGGACACGGACATGGACATGGACATGGACACGGGGAGCTGAACCGAGCTGAGAAATTAAATAAGTAAAACACGAGCAGTTTCTCTCACTTGCACTGGCCGGCAATAAAAACTGACGGCAATAAAAAACTTTCTCCACCCCTCCCCCCTCAGCCATTTCACCCCCCGCACACTCACACCATGACTGACAGTGCGTGTGTGCGAGTGTGTGCGAGACTTAACACGCAGTCGATGGGCGCATTTCCGGCGTAAAAATCTCCACGCTTTTCTCTTTTGCCAAGTTGCGTGCGCTGACCAAATGGCCGAATGGCCATTCCGCCACTCGGACATTCGGACATTGGGCGAACGATGCATAAATCACACAATAAAACCCATAAATTCCGAACGCAGCGAAAAGTCAGGCGGGAACGGGGAAAACTTGAAGGCAAACTGCATCTCGGAGGACAAGGCAGCGCGAAGAAATGGCCAACCATTTCCATCATGCTGATCATACGAAAGTTTCGGAAAAACCGTTCCAATAAAGTAAAATATCAGTCGAAGTTTTACTCTGCCATTATTTTTAAACGAAAAGTCATTTTAAAGCCGAGTATTAAAAAGGTATGTAAATAGTTACAAGTTTCGAAAATTAGCTAAATATTATAGAACTATATTTATAACTATTTTGTTGTATTGCCATTAATTTTTTGAATTCTCATTTTGTATTAAGCACCCATTTTTCAGAAAGAATAAAAATGGGAATGTATAATAGAACTACATTTACATAACTATTTTGTTTTATAATCATTTATTCTTTATATTCTTATTTTTTTAAGCTGCCAACTCAACCTTCTTGAAATGTTTACAAATTATATGCGGCAGTTACCCAAACCAATGCAATGGGGCGAATTTAAAGTTGCATTTGCAATTAATACCCTGGTCCCCAAACAACAATAGCAACTGGCCCCGGTTACTTGGCTATGCATTGCATACATTTCATTTGATTTAGTTGTCCTCGTCACCGATGCAGGTGCTCCTCCTCCTCCTCCTCCTCCAGGTGCTGCATCCCGGAACCAGAGAGCTGGTGTTGCTGCCACTAAACACATTGTGCGCAAATCCCAAGCCAAATCCCAGGCGTGCTGTTCTGCCTGCTGGGCTGAATTGGAATGGATGCGAGCGATGCGAATGAGGATGCACAGATAAAAAGGATACTCTTATATTTCCTTGTCAAATATATAATTATATTGACCATATATTTTTGATGAGTGAGCCATATCAAAAGGTTAAAAACCATATACTTCTCACATTAAACGTTTCTTAAATTTCGAAATCGTAAAGGACCATATTCGCATCCTTCTGAAGTAGTTTTTTTCAGTGTGAAGATTGCATTGGCATGTGAACTGCATTGACAGCATTTTAGAGTGGGTCACTCGCCAGCGCCTTCGGGGGCAGCAGGTGGGCGTGGTGCCATTTTAGTGGCGTGTTTGTGCTAATTTATTACGCCTGCGAAGCATAATGCAACCTGCAACCTGCCTCCTGCCACCTGAAATTCGGTGCCGATGGGAACCGAGTGCCGCTGCCACATTACAAATCGGCAAACAGAGACACACGGCTAGGGATAACGACTGAAACGACTGAGGGAGTCACATGCAGAGGCCTCGGGGAATGCTGCAAATGAATGTCTAATTAATTAAAGTGCGAACTGCACTTTGCTCGTTGTTGGGCTCGATTTGGCGGCGGGGCATTAATTGCCGGGCACATAGCAGTAAACATGTTTAGCGTCCGTCCTTCAGCCGACTTCCCCTCCCCTCCCCATCGCCTTCAAATACCCAAATGATTTGTTTGATTTATTGAAATTGCTGCTGGGTCAGGTTTCGCCGCCCTTCCCTCTCCGAAATGGACAAATTTCCTATGCACACATATAAAATGCAATTTTATACGGCGGGCCGAACATTCTAGCCCAAAATAATATCATTTTCCTGCGGGGCCTGCACTAAAGAAATTTTCCCAAAGCTTGATAAATATTGGAAATGTTCATTGGGTAAATATTAAGAGTTACAAATGGTATAATATTTTACCTTTTTAAAGGCTATGAAAATGTCTTACTTCATTAGCAAATAGTTTGGAAAAGCCATTTCCTATCATAAGTAATCGTTTGCTAATTTTAAATGTAAGTCTGTAAAATTGTAATTTTTAACTTCACATTTACTATTTTTTCTGTGTGTTTTCTATGTTTTTCTGTTCTGGCGCATCTGCAGCGCTGAAATTGTCGCGGGATGTTAGTCCTGCATCCCCTGCAAACCCTTTCCCCCCTTCGACCCTTCGTCTATGCGCACAAAGCTTAGCGGGACATAAATAATAAATTTGCAACGTTTGCATTTTACCAGCACATGTGTGTGTGTGTTTCTATGGCTAGACCTGCATGTGTGTGTCGGTGTGTGGGGACATTAACAATTTATCAGTGAATCGAAAAAGCAACAAGCCAATAAAAATCACTCCGTTTGACCGGTGACATTGCGACTGCCATTCCAATCCCACTGCATCCGCCCCATCTGGCTCTTTGAACCCTCCTAGTTTGGGGAGGTTTTGGCGAGTTTGCCCCCCGCGTGTCAAACATCAAATGTCAGTGCAAAACTGACAGCAGAAATAAAAGTTGCAGGCTAAAATACCTATTTGTTATTCAGTAAAATATTACAAAATTATATGAAATTAATATTTTAAGATATTTTAAGGAAACTGAAAACGTAACACGCTTAGTTTTAGCTTAATGATAATCTAAATTTAACAATTTAATTTTAACTTTAGGTTCTGCTCTCAGTCACTCTTGTAATTCAATAAATCGGAGGTTGGGGTAACCAAAAACATACATGGATTCCATACCCCATGAAAAGATCAAAGTGGATCACGATCGGTTTTATGTGGAAAGTTCTTTAATACATCAATTTGCCCAACACTTGTTACACGTGAGGAAAACCGAGTACTTTCATTCCGTCCAACTGAACTTTTTCTCCTTTTTCCGATCACGATCCTCCGCATACGCCCCCATCCGGCGTCCGTCGAAAAAATGCGTAGGAGGAGCTCCAAAATCAGACCCTCACGACTACCAACGTTGCCAAACTTACGAACCTTACCTCACAACTCGTATTTACTTATATTATACATTTTACTTATACCCTTCTTATCTTACATGTTATATTAACCATGGAACCCAACCACATAATGGTTCTTGTATAGGTTATAATGGTGTTTGTCCACGCTAGTGTATTACTCAATAGATGGCGTATGATGACACCCGATTTTTTAAAATTTCTTTCTTGCTAAATGAACTAGAGTTTCCGCCATTTCCAATTTTCAGAAGTTTATTCTCACATTCTCTTAGGGACTTAATGATGATTTGGGTTCTTTATTAAAAATACTCTACCAGATTAATCAATATGGCTTTGTGTACAATAATGATCATTCTTTAACCTTAGTGTACAGGGTAACATGCGCTACGATCTACTGAAAAATACAATACACCAAAAACAACAGATATATTCGGGGGCGTCTTCAATAGATTGCTTAATAGACAATATGCTACAGTATGCTCCTCAAAGGAGCCTGAATATGTTGCCACCGATTTGTGTTCAAACAGAGTTAAACTTGCTTAGCGTATCACTTAGAAACCCACCAAAAATACCGATGCGTAATACCACCCGTAATACCGTATCTCCTTCGATTTACTTTGTATTTAACTTTGGCATACCAAAGAGGGAACTAAAAATTATTGGGAAGAGGGTTTAGGAAAAAAATAGTGCGCGGCTTAAATAAAAATTGCATTTATTTTGGCATGATAAATGTAGTCGTATAAAATTAAACTAAACATGTACTAAATTAAAATGTAATAATCACAATTACGCGTAGCTAACACAAATCCGATTGCATCCCACCGCCTTCGCACGTGCTCGTAATAGTAGTAATTGCTTTATATCACCAGTTGGCCAGGTCCCCTTCTTTTTTTTCTTAACTGCAAGCACCCCTGTCCGGGAAATGGATTTCCCAACCCGGACTGCACCGCTTTCTATCACAAGGGAATGGTTTCCGTTTCCGTTTCCGCTTTCCACATTCGCCTCAACTTCCGCTCGATTGCACGCTGGATCCCTTCTGGGTTAAAATTAGGTGACCGAAAAGTGGAAAAATGTGGTTTCTTCTCTCGCAAAAAGACAATTTGAGAGTTCAACAAAGGGACGGAGTAAAGAACGTTGGGAGAAATCTGCATTGATTTGGATCGCGCTCTGAAGGATCTTGTCTACAATTTGTTATGTTTTCAACCTACTTAAGTTCAGACTCTTTTCTGCTTGGTCACAAGAATTATACCTCAATTTAAGTGTGTATGTAAGTGGGGCTCTATGTGGGTATTCCTATTTATATATAGATCTATGTAAATTCCATTTGTTTTGGTATGCAGAACAGCTACTGTATGGGTGTGTATATATATCCATGGGTATATATTTAGAATCCCCTCCTAGATACCGATGCAATGCTTATGCTTCTGTAAGTGTGTATGTCTGTCTGTATAAACGTACAAAGCCCGACGGGATAAGTTGAAGAATGCGGTAAAGCTACGCCTAGCTACAATCCTGCTATCCCGGGATCCCATCCGCCCTTCGTATTTTCCCCCAACCATCCTTGCGCCTTTTCTATGTACAGGTGATCTCTAACGTATGATAATAGTGATAACCCTAAACTATGAACAAATCCCTCGAACCGTCCGCTTAGCGGATCATGTGCAGTTTCCATCGCAGCACGAAATAAGCGATGATGCGCAGGGCAAAGAAGATTCCGATCAGGGCAACGGCGTCCACCCAAAACAGAGCGTTATCCATGGACATCTCCTCGAGGAACTTCTTGGGCACCCGAAAGTGACAGTACATTTGGTTGCACTGCATCTTGGCCCGATCCATTCCATAGATGGCCACCATGGCACCTGTAGGAAATATCATTTCGTGAGTTTATGATTTCATATTGCAGGGATATCCACACTCACCTTCGAAACCGTAGCGCACATAACTGACGTACGTCACCCACTGCAGATAGCCCGGTATGGTGTCAAAGTTCACAAAGAATCCGGAGAACAATATTGTTGGTATAGTTGTCACGGGACCGAGGAATACGCCTGTTTCGATATTCATCCCCGCCCCGATCAGCAGTCCCAGCGACTGTGCCACCAGAGAGTTTAGCACACAGATCAGTACAAACATGGATACCCGTTCCAATTCCATCGGCTGCGAGGTGAGGTAGTACACTACCAGAACGTAGACACTGGAAAAGACGATCTGCAAGAGAATAAAGAAAATTAATTTAAGTGCCAGGCGGTGAGCTTAAGTCTATGGAACACAAATATTTGTATAACATTGGGGTTATTCTGTTAAAATTATAAACAAACATCACGGAAGAAAGGTCACTAAGAAAATTATACTCTTCATCAAAAAGCATAAATTCGTTTTTTAAGTTTTCTAATCTATTGTAGAAATTCAGTAAGCCAATTTGTTAATGAAAATAATAACAAAAATGTAACTACTTCCTGTTAAAGTTGTTGTGAACAAATCCAACTAGTGAAATATTTTCAAAAACTATGCTTTCGAGAGTATTTTGAACTTAATGAAATTATTTAATTATTTTTACCTGAAACGGCATGTCCGCTATGGTCTTGGCAAAGTAAAAGGCCTTCAGGGAGTACCAGTAGTTAAGATGCTCCCTCACGAACACCGACATTTCAGTGGGAACTGCGAATTAAAGATTCCAGATTAATGTTAGATGCCACAACCTCGAAATCGATCAACTCACAGGTGAGGATGGTGGGCATCATTGCCGTGAAGGTGGTGAACAGGGAGACGAAGAAGATGCAACCGGCGTTGCTCATAATCTTGCTGGCCTCGTTGCCCACATCGTAGTAGATCATCCCAATGATGGCTCCCACAATGACGTGGGAGAAGAGGCGCATGTGGGTCAGCATTTTGTCCCGCAGGATGGTGCGAAAGGAGCGCTTGAGCAGGATCCAGAACTGAGTCCATCCGCTGGTGGGGAATCCCGTCTTGCTGGGCAGCGTGACCACGCTCTCGTGGGAATCCAGCAGCGAGGTCATGCAGCCCACAACGGCACTGGGACCGCCCGAACCCGAACCCACTGCATTGTGGGTGCCTTTTGAGGAGCTGAAGCTGCAACTGTCGTCCACACCAGTCGTCGGCATGTTGACCACGCTGCAGTCGGAGTTCTGGGACTGCTGTGTCTCCAGCTTCGGTGGTTTCAGCTCCGCGGGATCCTCAACACTTGAGCGTTCCATCTGCTTGTTTTCCATTGGAGGCTTCTCATCCTCCAGTGTCAAAGTAGCTGTCGTATTCTCCGCCCCACTTCCACTGCCCTTGATGATGTCGTTGTTGCAACTCCTTTGGGCCAACGTTAATACATAATCCTTGTGCGAGTACTTCTTGCAAGCTCCACTCTTCACTGCCTCCACCAACTTGGGCACCGCATCCCCGTACTCCCCAGAGGCCACTTCCAGGACGTAGTCAGCGGGATTGTGATACGAAGGACATTCGTAACCAAGGGATGAGAGGTACGGCACCAGACCCTTCACCCTGCCCTCGTAGACACACTGTCCTTGGGCCAGCAAATACAGATGATCGAACTTCTCAAAGAGGCGCGCCGACGGCTGGTGAATTGTGCAGACTATGGTGCGTCCTCCTCGGGCCAGTGATCTCAGCAGCGAGATGAGCTGGAAGCAGGTTGAGCTGTCCAGTCCGGAGGTGGGTTCGTCGAAGAACATCACGGGTGGATTGTTGACCAGTTCCAGGGCAATCGAAAGTCGTTTCCTCTGGCCACCGGACAGGTTGCAGGTCAGCGTGTTCACCGACTCCTTCAGGCCAATCGTCTCGAGGATCTCCTCGACCACCACCACCTTGGCGTAGCTGATCATGTTCTTGCCCAGCTTGAGGTTGGCGGCCACCATCATGGCCTCGCGAACGGTCAGGTTGGCAATCAGCACATCGTCCTGCATGATGTAGCAGGAGAGCTTGCGGAAGCGTCGCAGGTTCCGTTCCTTGCTGTTGATCAGCACAGAGCCACTTAGTTGTGATGTCCTGTGAAGAAAGGAGGAATATGTCAGTGAAAGTTGGTAAAAGAATCGGTAAAGTCGGTTTGTTTTTATCGGCTTTAGGTGCTGTGGCAAACCAATATTAATATTTCGTTCACATTCATAAATACAAAAGTTATATGGCCTTTGTATTATCAAAGGATCTTTCTTAAAATGTTGGTATCCAGACCAAGATTTGAAATTGATTATTAGGATCTTAAAAAGGCTTGAATATAAAACTAATTTGGTATTTATCCAGAACTTGCCATACAACAAAACCAAGCCAAAACCGATAATGATTAAATGGTGGACTCACTTGTAGCCGGCCAGGATATTCATCAGCGTGCTCTTTCCTGCTCCGGAGGGTCCCATGATCGCTGTGATCTCGCCATTCCGGAACTTGCCCGTGACGCTCTTGAGGATGGTCTTGAATCCCCGAAGGTGGCCGTCGGCGACCGAGTAGGAGATATCACAGAACTCGATGTCCACCGGCGGTCGTTGTGGCAGATGTGACAGGGCGATGGTGCCTTTCTTCTGGCCATTGGGACTCCCGCCACTGTTGTTGGCCACCTTGGGGGCCAAGGCATGGTTGTTGCTGCCCAAGCCGCCGTTGCAAAGGTTGTTCTGGGACCTAAAAATAAGAGGAGAAGGAGTTCATTTAGTTTGTCCTTTTATTTAGGATATCTTTAGAGTGTTTTTTGATTTCTACTTGGGCCTTTTTTGCAGTGCACTGACACAGCAGCCGTTTTTGGTGAACTTGGTCTGCACCAAGGACAAGGAGCGCTGCTGCTTGCTGCGCTCCGCATCCTGCAGCATCTCGGCATAGGCCGCAGCATATTCGGACCTCCTACGATTGACATCCACCTGGTCTTGGGATGCAGCAGTTTCGAAGCTGGAGTTCTGGATGCCCCCACTTTCCGCGCTGACTTGGCTGGTCAAGGTCAGCTCCATTATAAATCCTTATTCCCTTTTTAGCAACTCATGATGCCGCCACTAAACGACCAGAATCGTCAGTCAATGGATCAATCAGCAACGTTTATTTCCCCTTTCGAGCCCTGCTCAATGATTTCCATTGTCTCACAGCCGTCATTCATCCAACCACCCAACCACCCACCTCCCACGCTAAAAGGTTAAAGTTCGCCCTGCTTTTTGTTTCATTCATGAAACGTCTGTCACATGCGGGAACCCATACCTTGGGCCGAATACCGAGTGCGTTTTCATTAGTGGTTGGTCGCATGCCGGGCAACCGACTTCGATTGATAAGTCCGCCGACGCCGCCGACTGCAGCGGGCCAATGCCAATTAACATTACAGCTTTTTGGGTGCAAATTTGTTGAGCTAGTTGGTCGAAATTGATTGATTGGGAAGCCCTCGACGTGCACAGAGCAAGTAATAAGTAGGTGTATCTGGTGCCAGCGTAAGGGGATTAAAGGTCAGCGTAACAAGCTGTGCTACTTATCACTGGTGTGTTCAGCACTCAGGAATGGCAATGGTATAGTTAGCAGTGAAGCTGGAAGGGGATTGGACTTTGGGAAGTGGTACATCGAATATTGAAAATGCCACATGGCTGTCAAAATGTATAACACTTGTTGACTTTTGGCTCAAAGGCAGATGAAAGAAAACTTATAGCTTCCTTAGTATAAGTTTTAGTTAAGTAGTAACTGCATTGAAAGATAAAGCTGAATGAAAAGTCATTAAAATTAGTTTCTTTTCTCTCAACTATGTAAATTGGTAGTACTGCTATCTAAATATCTATCACCCAGCTTGCACGCACTGTAAAGTCCGGATATTGTGGGCAGTTAATGGATAATTCTCCTTGTATAGAGTAGCCAATTACTGTCCGAAGTCCGCTTCAATATTTCTATAATTTCGTGCGGCAACTCGAGACGTAATGGCAAGATATTAAAATAAAATTGGTTGTAAGGTGGGGGGAAAGTCAGCTGTTGGCTGCGGGCCATGCCAAGTGAATACAGATACAGTGAGAGACTAGTACTATCACACTCCAATAAACAATTTTTGCCTTGCTCCGCTTGGATTTATTTTGTTTTGTTTTGCTTTTTGTTTTTTTGTTTTTTGCCTTTTGCTTTGCTTTGGTCTCTTTCAGTTACGATAAATATGACTCTCAGTGGCCCCAGTGTTTTGTGCATCAGTATTGGTTTGCGTATTGCGAATCATTTCCCGCGAATATCTCGGTACACGAGCACCGGGAGCGAGTACATTTCAAGTGCGCATGCACCCAGAGTGCATGTTAACGAACCCAACGAACCCCCCACCCCCCTTCCCCCACGCAACAACTCAACGAAGACTCGACGAAGTTTAGAGCACTTTGTCTTGCGAAATGCACTCGGAACACAAAGAAACAGTACTGGACACCCTTCCAGGTGGGGTGGGGGGATGGGAAGGGGGGCCTAATGAAATTCTGCGCAACTCCCGTCTGCTGTCTTCTAAATTTACCCAGTCAATTGGATTCAAATGGAGTCAGTCACGCAATCCCTTCCGGGTCTCTTTGATTGCTTATCAATCTTAATGCGTGGTAATGGTTGCCAGGTTCGAAGGCATCGATTGTGGCCCTGCTTAATTGATTGATAGCCGGCCATAAAACAGCTGCTGCTGTAGTAACTTTATATCTGCTAGCTACTGAATTTCAGCATTTCTGAATTTCTGAACCTTGAGGCCGCGTTTCTAGGCCGCCATTTACATTGTTGTGTGTTCGCACTGATTAGGCACAACCGGAAATATCAGCTGGCGTTAGATCATCCCCGCTAAACGACAATTAAGCGGTTTACAAATGCCAGGAGAAGAGGGGAGGCGGCAGTTCATTGCGATTAATAAAAGTATTAATAAAGGCAAGTGTGCCAAACGATGGTATCTTGAACAGCGAAGGAGCTTCGCCTTTGGGAAAGCTTTATTCAAAAGCGAGGCAATGAGTTCCAACACAGTGATAGGTCATTTTGTGGTAAGTAAAAAATATGTATATACATATATGTATGTATCTCAGCCAAACTAAAGAAATGCATAGCGCTAATACGCATTTTTAAAAGTTTTAAATTAATTTGCCACCATGATAATTGTTTGTGCTTTTTATTGCACAAGAATGTATCCATTAGTTTGAAAATAAATATGACTACTTGATCAAGTTGCATATAATTGAGCAATAAAATAAATATTTTATAAATTAATTGTTGCTGATAAATTATTTTCGCGGCGTTCCACTTCAATGCAAACCTTATGTATGGGAACAATCATGTGGCTCCAACTCCTGGCCTGTTTAAGCGATTAAGGAAACGCGGCAAGGCCAATCAAATATGGAAACGGATGTGTGGGCGTGGGAGGGGGTGTGGTTGTGGGTGGGCTAGTTTGTGCTGGCGGTGGACTGCTCCTGTCACGTCGAGCGTGGGAGAAGGTCCTGTCCAGGACCGCTGCTGTTTTTCTATGCCCTCGAAGCGGGGGAGAAGGTCAACATGCTTGGAGTGTTGGCTGGCTGACTTTTGTGGCGTACCAGCAAGTCAAGGATGCAAAGGTTGTCAATCGACAGGGAAAAACTTGCTGAAGGTGCCACAAAGTCTGACGGAATCTCGGCCTTTTATCGTTTCTGAGTTGGCGGCAACTTCACATTACATAACCGACCGGCTTAAACGACGCGGCGTCTTGTCCACTTGCCAAAAAGTAAAATCACACGTAAAAAGCAACCACGTGGACTACCACGGGTAGTTTTCAGCTCACTCCCTCTATTGTGGAAGCATTTTTCTAATAGGCACATAAATATTTAAAGCCGAAAACCGAACTGACGGAGTGCCGCACACAGACGCGATGTTGCCGCAGGACTAAAAAGCCGAACGGAGTCCAACTGCTGACTGCGGCACGACTTTGGACAGCTTGGCGGCTTGTTCGATTTTTCCAGGCACGCGGCGCCGCGAGGTCCTCGACTGCCCTGCTACTCTTCTGAGTAAAGGAGTCCTTCGACTAAGCTAAGGAGTTTGTAGGTGAAAGGCATAATTACTGATAAATTAAATTTATTTTTTAAGTTGGACAATAGCTGACAGCTTTACAGAACGACAAATAACTTTATTATTTTTATAGTTTTTATAGGAAGAGAGTACCCTCCATTCGGTGTTGTTACCCAAATCCACAGGACCCCTTTTGTCTGCCTCCCTTGTATTGTTTTGCTTGGTCTTATGGCTTTTATGGCATTTGCCGTTTGGCGGCGTTTCATTCACTGTTACATGTTTTCTTTCTCTTGTTTCCCCCACCACAGACATGTGCGTTTGCTTGTGGCTTATTATTTATGGCAGTGGCGACAGTGGGAAAAAGGGGTCGGACTGGGTCGAAAGGACACGTAGGATAGTGTGGCATTTAAGGCTGCTTTCCTGTTCGCTTCCCATCGAAACCTTGGTCCTGGGGCACCAACTTGATTGCTGGGATTGTGCAGCATTCATGGAATGTCCTTAGAAAGGCCCCGTCTGCCCAGGACAATTTTAATTACATTGCGACCTGCATTGAGTTGTTCGTGGGCGTATTCATTAACCAATAGATTTTCCATTTGCATTTTAATGAAGCTACAGGAAAAAAATTCAAGGCTGGATGACAAAGCTTAAGTTTCGCAATCCTATTGCAACTTACGACCGAAACTTTTCAGTTCTTGGGAAGTACGTTGCCTCACCAAGACATTTTAAAAATATTTTTACAGCTGAGCATAATTTTGGTTGGTACCATTTCCATGCCGACACGCGATTTGTGAGACGGAGTCATCGATTTTCCAGGTCTATTTCCCCCTCCTCCTTTTCCAGACACACCTTAATGTCGTGGCAGGTGGCATGTTCGAAACGGAAGAAAGATACCAACGTTACAGATGCGTGCTAATTTTGACTCGACGGTCTTATTAATAGCTCCTACTCATATTCCCACTCCCTCTCCCTTTCACTGCTCTGATTTTTTTAATGTTTTTACGCGGGATGTGCTTAAAATAGAAGTGTCACCTCAGTGGAACAGTAACTTGTGACAGTGTGATTAGTTAGCTGATACTTGTTAACCTTTCCACCCACAGGAAAGCCCGTGTCCTTGCACAAGCGGAAATTTCAGAGTGGCCGCAGGAACAAATGCAATACTATACAGCAGTTCAGGGTCAAGGGACATAATTCAATTCATTCCCGCTTATAATCCCCTCCGCTGGAGTGGCAGTTCCCTAGGTAACCAAAAACGCCGCTCTACTCGAGTCTAATCCCGCCTAATGCAATTAACGCATACTACACAGAAAATAAATGGTATGGATGATGAATAATTTGATGATTTTTCATATATTTTTAGACTTGCTACTTAAGTTGTTAGTCAACCTTTTTAACAGAGAAAAGATTAAGATTCCCTTTTCTTTCACAATGCAACCTTTTTAGAAGTTTCTTTCCGATATAAATCAATAATAAAAAATATATAGGCAAAGTAAATTGAAGAATTTTCTCTCTGTGTAGACTCACCCGTGACTGGTCTGCTTCAGGTCGTTGGTCAACTTCAGCTGGTTGAGCAGCGGCACTGGCTCCTGTTTGGGATTTGGGTTGCTGCTTCCAGTGGAGAGTGTAGACAGGGACATGGTGCCGCTTGTATATAACACGGCATTGGGTGCTGTGGTGGCCGCCGAATCGGACACCTTGTTGGGGCTCTTGGTCGCCGGCAGAATGACGGCGTGGGAGGAGCACTTATCCACCAGCGGGACACTGGAGGCCTGCAGCTCATTCATGGCTTTAACTTGTTGGGTTTTCTTTGAGAGTCCGTTTAGTTCTTGGTGCAAATGCAATTGGCATAGGGCATCAGCATTTGCCTTAATCGATTTATGCTTGGCTTTTCAGCTTGGCTTGTGATTGCAATATTTGTGACTCTCGAATGCTCCTATTTAATTGAATACACTGAGGATTGGCATCTGCATTGGAAGTACGTGAATAATGTAGGTGGTTTCCCCTCTCAGTTCAGCTCTGCAATAAAAGGGAAATGGGAAAACGATGCAAATCAAGCATAATTTAAACGGAGGCAACACCTTCGCCAGGCATTTGTCTATTGATTTGGCATTCTCACACACATAAACACTTACTCGAGCACTCTTAAGCACTCAATCCACACACTGGGGCATATTACATCATACAGCCCAGGAAGTACCACCCTACGCCCCTGATTCTAAAGGCCTCCAAAAGCGCCAGCTTGTAGGTTGCTCAATGGCAGCTAGCAGCATGAATTTCTAATTACTGAACAATGCCCAGAGACCCAGACCCAGACACAGACCCAGACCCAGTTGAGGAACGACGACACCCATCGAGAACAACCGATAAACGCTGTACCCTGAATTCAATGCCAGACACTCGAGGGCTCAGAGAATGGGCTTCATAAACAGCTGTCCCAGCGAAGAACTGCTGGTCAGTGCGCCTGTACCCCAAACCCTATTGGAGAAATTCCGGTTGGTAGAGCTCGCCACAAAGTCCACTGCAATGGGAAGTTGTGAGGCTGGGTTTGCCTGCACTGGGAACCAATTTTGCAGGTGGCCAACTGATAAGATTTGACCGTTTAACGATGAGAATTCTGACTTACTCCTACACTGGGAGGAAATTTTTGAACAAGAAAAGTTTGCAAATGATTTTTATAAGAAGTTGAGTAACGGGTGTGTATACCTCAGGATATAGAGACGCAGCTAAACTTTATTTCAAAGGCAAAACTATTAATATTTATGAAAAGTATCTATAAGGCCACAATATTTACAATCATTAATTAGATTTACTTGTTTATACACTACCATTTTAAAAGCATTTTATGTTATAGTTAATAGTTTCCGCAATTATATATATTTAACAAAAATGTTAGGCATTTATTATTTAAAAGATATTCTTCTATAAAATGTTTATTTAAAGATACATTTTGCGGTCTATGCTTATTGTATCAGTACTTTGTTTCAGGCCTTGGAGTTTTCTTAGTGTACACGAGCATTTATTACAGATTTGTTTTCAGTCCGATTGGCGATTAGATGAGCGGTGCGATAGGCTTCCTGCTATTGGGCGCGGGTTTCCTTTCGCTAATCGACTGAGATGTAAGGCGCGTAATCGCACACACTACGGGTTTTATGGCCCGGGGCTATTCTGCTGCCAGCTGTTGTCGGCCATCGACTTCTTATCTCGGGACCGGCACTCAAAACTGGCCACGCACAGCTGCGGATTGTCTAATCTGGGAATCAATCCGTCGTACGATGGGTGTTTTTGAACTTGGGGTTCTCAGAATTTTGCACTCCCCCGCCAATTGGGTGGGTGGATGACCCGAGATGAGGTCCTACCACAACAGCATTCAAAGTAGGTCAGTTGGTATGTCCCCCGAATCTCCGAAGTTCGCGGTGGTCTCCCTGGCCTGATCTGGTTTTAATATTTCGTGTGGGGCAAGTGTCGAAAGACTTCTACCTGACAGGTTTTAGATGTGTCATGAGCTATTAACAAATACCGCGGGGCATAAACATTTTGAAAACAACAGCCACCGCCGCCGGAGAATATTGCAAAAATGTCTATCTCAAGAGAGCGCAGGCGCTCTTGCCAAATGAAAAGGCAGGAAAACATTAAAGATACATATGGGTCTACCTAAAGGGGAGGTAAACTCCGGCTGCGAAGTTTATCGGAGGAGTGGTGGGTTGTTTTAACTGCAGGAAAAGCAGAGAACCTCAGAACGACGCAATTCATTTACTCGAATCTAATTTTCACTCTTGCTCACCTTTGGATTTGGGTTGGGATGAGGGTTTTTTCCGAGCAGAGCAAAACACAAATGGCATAAAACGTGTTTTTGGTTTATTAGCATTGTATCTTTTTTGGCCACTGCCAGAAGAGATAGTTCATAGTCCCGCTCCCTCGCACATTTATATACTTTATAAGAACTTGGCCCGCTCGGAGCGCTTCTTGATGCAGAGATACCCGTGCTCGTGCCTTCTTTGTTATGGTTGAGGCAGCAAACAGCAAACAAACAAACAACGCCAGCTATTCAAATGCGAACCAAGGGCGAGGGCGATGGGGATTCTACGCTTCTACGGAAGAGAACGAATTACCAGATGGTAATGTGCGTTTCGGGAATACGCCAAAGTGTATCGTTTTTCGGGGCTAAACGTGTTTTTATTCAGCGCGATCCGATCCGTTCCGATTGAACTCGATTCCTGCCCAAAATACCGCTCGACCGGATGAGGCAACAACATTCAGGCAGCGCGAACTACGAAGAACTGAAAATGAAACTGCGGAGCTGCTGCGGCGGCTGCTTAGCTACCAGCTGCCAGCTGAGAGCGTTTTCTGCTCCCGCTCAAGAACCTGTATCTGTGTGAGCCAGAGCAACCCACACATACTATCAAGGCTGGGGGGAGTACCTAAATAATTGTACCTAAGTGCGTGTGTTGTTCAGTAACGAGAATTTAGTTGTCTTATTTGAAATTTTTTTGAATTGGATTAGAAATTTATGATAAGAAAATAATATGGTAAAAGTTATAAGATACTTATTTATTTAACAAACATTTCGATTGGTTCTTAAATATAGCAGAGAAGTTTTAAGTTCTAGCTATCTTTATTATTAAGAATAAAATACTTAAGCTGAATATTTAATTTGAACTACTAAACTTCACCTAGATACACACTTTCGAAATGGTGAATCTTTAGATACTTTTGTAAATATGTTTACCTTAGCTGGGTACAAAAATGGAATACCTTTCAGCACTCGGATACTATTAGCGTTTCGTCAATGGGGAAGTCGTGGCTCTCTTTGTTCAACGTTCAATTCAAACGCTGGCATACACTTAAATTAACACAAGTGTGTGTGAGCGGTAGTGCGCATGGCGTTAATGTGTGCGTTGGCGTTTTGCTGCTCTGAAAACAGCTGACTGTAAACACACACAAAGAGCGGGGGGGCCCAGTGGGAAATCCAGTGCGATTTGGGTTCAGCTGCACTTGGATTTGATGGAGCGAAACTCCCCAGAGAGAAAGAGAGCGTGGTACACAGAAAAAAAATACGAGAAAATCGTAATTAATTTAGGCAATTCGGTTGCTTATAGGAAGTAAAATTGCTATTACATAAGGCCATAAGGCAGGCAAACTATAAAGGCAAGAAGACGATTACATGGCTGAAATAATTAATATTGTTAGTACATGGTGCCTTCCTAGATTTTTTTCAACTATGGTATTTCTGCACTTTTATTTTTTTGTCAATTCAATATATACTAGGTGCTTTATGTTTGTCCCCAATACATATTAATTTAGTAAATTGCAAACGATTAATATATTATTTTAGTTTTCTCGCTCTGTAATAAGTGGATATCCCTGAGCAGAATCAGTGTTTTTTCTACTACGCTTACAATATTAGCAGTCTGAATGATAGCGAACTTTGAACCGCACGATCGCAGAACAAAGCAATGAAACTAAACAAAAACAATTGCGATTTCTTCGAAGAATTGTGATGAGGGGAAGCGGAGCAGGGAAGCTGATACCACCATGAGTAATCCCCCCTCAATGTCCACAAAAACAAAGCCAAAACGTGAGTTGCCGCCTTTTGCTGCTTGATTTCCCAACCCCAGCCCCTTGTAACTCTCAGGGAAAATGCGCAGTCGGGGGACGTCTAATCGCACCGACCTTAATAATAGTTTATTCTCATATCAGCCGCAGATTGTTTTTAGCTATTATTTAAATTGTGTCCCAGCATTGACCGACAGCTATGTAATATTAATTTGTGGAACCGTTCTGCAGTGAGGAAATACAACGAGAGTTTGCTGAAAATGCCAATGAACGATAGCCGGAATCGAAATCAATTTTAATTCGATTTCAATGGGAATGCCCTACTAGGCTAGAGTGTCATTGAGTGTTATCAGTTGGCGGGATTGCCTTTCATTTCGCTTCAGGTGCAGCTGCACTTTTCTTTAATGCGAATCTGCCAGGAACATTTGGCAATCAAGCCAACTTGGGTGCATTCGCAGTGCATTCAAAGTACTTTCAGGTGTTTTCAGCACTTTGAATCTGGAATAGCAACGAACATTGGCCCCTGATCAGTATCCAAAACAAGTAGCCGTAACGGATTGTCTGAAAACGTAATTGTTAATTGGCTCTTAACGAATCGGACTTCAGTGGGTGGAATACTTTCCAGTCAAAGTGGTCAGGGGTTGATTAAGAATCCAATCCGAAAAACCCCTGACTGAGTAATATTTAAATATTTTGCGTAACGGCAAAAGCTTATTCAAAAGCTGTGTCGGAAATTAGCTTTGCAAGGCAGAAAGAGATATCTATCTTATGAATACGAAAGAGCTTATTTCTAAAAGTGATGCCCATAACGCGCGCTTTTTAAATCGTAGAGGAAAAAAATTGTATAAAAACTTTTAAAATTATTATTTCCAGTTTTCCACTTTTCCATCATGAAAATGACGAAAAATCGACCCAAAATTACAACCCAAGATGAGTACATTTTTAGGGGATTAAACCACAATCATTTTAAAGTATGCCATTTTGAAATCGGATGTCTGCAACAAAAGTTATGGGCTTAGAAGTGCAGCTTTTAGGTCTCTTTTCAGCAAGGCCAGTTTTAGAAAATTTGGAAAGGGGTTACATTGTAAAAGTGACCAAAAATCGACCCAAAATTTCAAACCAAGATGAGTATACCGATTTTTAGGGGATTTAATCACGATCATTTTAAGGTATGCCATTTTGAAATCGGATGTCTGCAACAAAAGTTATGGGCTTAGAAGTGCAGCTTTTAGGTCATTTTTCAGCAAGGCCATTTTTAGAAAATTTGGAAAGGGGTTACATTGTAAAAGTGACCAAAACTCGACCCAAAATTTCAAACCAAGATGAGTATACAGATTTTTAGGGGATTTAATCACGATCATTTTAAGGTATGCCATTTAGAAAATTTGGAAAGCGGTTACATTGTAAAAATGACCAAAAATCGAACCAAAATCTTAAACCAAGATGAGTATACAGATTTTTAGGGGATTTAATCACGATCATTTTAAGGTATGCCATTTTGAAATCGGATGTCTGCAACAAAAGTTATGGGCTTAGAAGTGCAGCTTTTAGGTCACTTTTCAGCGAGGCCATTTTTAGTAAATTTGGAAAGGGGTTACATTGTAAACGTGACGAAAAATCGACCCAAAATTACTAATCAAGATGAGTATACAGATTTTTAGGGGATTACGCCACAATCATTTTAATGTATGCCACTTTAAAATCGGATGTCTGCAACAAAAGTTATGGGCTTAGAAGTGCAGCTTTTAGGTCATTTTTCAGCAAGGCCATTTTTAGAAAATTTGGAAAGGGGTTACATTGCAAAAGTGACCAAAACTCGACCCAAAATTTCAAACCAAGATGAGTATACAGATTTTTAGGGGATTTAATCACGTACATTTTAAGGTATGCCATTTTGAAATCGGATGTCTGCAACAAAAGTTATGGGCTTAGAAGTGCAGCTTTTAGGTCTCTTTTCAGCAAGGCCAGTTTTAGAAAATTTGGAAAGGGGTTACATTGCAAAAGTGACCAAAACTCGACCCAAAATTTCAAACCAAGATGAGTATACAGATTTTTAGGGGATTTAATCACGATCATTTTAAGGTATGCCATTTTGAAATCGGATGTCTGCAACAAAAGTTATGGGCTTAGAAGTGCAGCTTTTAGGTCTCTTTTCAGCATGGCCAGTTTTAGAAAATTTGGAAAGGGGTTACATTGTAAAAGTGACCAAAACTCGACCCAAAATTTCAAACCAAGATGAGTATACAGTATTTTTAGGGGATTTAATCACGATCATTTTAAGGTATGCCATTTTGAAATCGGATGTCTGCAACAAAAGTTATGGGCTTAGAAGTGCAGCTTTTAGGTCATTTTTCAGCAAGGCCATTTTTAGAAAATTTGGAAAGGGGTAACATTGTAAAAATGACCAAAAATCGAACCAAAATCTTAAACCAAGATGAGTATACCGATTTTTAGGGGATTTAATCACGATCATTTTAAGGTATGCCATTTTGAAATCGGATGTCTGCAACAAAAGTTATGGGCTTAGAAGTGCAGCTTTTAGGTCATTTTTCAGCAAGGCCAGTTTTAGAAAATTTGGAAAGGGGTTACATTGCAAAAGTGACCAAAACTCGACCCAAAATTTCAAACCAAGATGAGTATACAGATTTTTAGGGGATTTAATCACGATCATTTTAAGGTATGCCATTTTGAAATCGGATGTCTGCAACAAAAGTTATGGGCTTAGAAGTGCAGCTTTTAGGTCTCTTTTCAGCAAGGCCAGTTTTAGAAAATTTGGAAAGGGGTTACATTGTAAAAGTGACCAAAACTCGACCCAAAATTTCAAACCAAGATGAGTATACAGTATTTTTAGGGGATTTAATCACGATCATTTTAAGGTATGCCATTTTGAAATCGGATGTCTGCAACAAAAGTTATGGGCTTAGAAGTGCAGCTTTTAGGTCATTTTTCAGCAAGGCCATTTTTAGAAAATTTGGAAAGGGGTAACATTGTAAAAATGACCAAAAATCGAACCAAAATCTTAAACCAAGATGAGTATACCGATTTTTAGGGGATTTAATCACGATCATTTTAAAGTATGCCATTTTGAAATCGGATGTCTGCAACAAAAGTTATGGGCTTAGAAGTGCAGCTTTTAGGTCATTTTGTCAGCAAGGCCATTTTCAGAAAATTTGGAAAGGGGTTACATTGTAAAAGTGACCAAAACTCGACCCAAAATTTCAAACCAAGATGAGTATACAGTATTTTTAGGGGATTTAATCACGATCATTTTAAGGTATGCCATTTTGAAATCGGATGTCTGCAACAAAAGTTATGGGCTTAGAAGTGCAGCTTTTAGGTCATTTTTCAGCAAGGCCATTTTTAGAAAATTTGGAAAGGGGTTACATTGTAAAAATGACCAAAAATCGAACCAAAATCTTAAACCAAGATGAGTATACAGATTTTTAGGGGATTTAATCACGTACATTTTAAGGTATGCCATTTTGAAATCGGATGTCTGCAACAAAAGTTATGGGCTTAGAAGTGCAGCTTTTAGGTCTCTTTTCAGCAAGGCCAGTTTTAGAAAATTTGGAAAGGGGTTACATTGCAAAAGTGACCAAAACTCGACCCAAAATTTCAAACCAAGATGAGTATACAGATTTTTAGGGGATTTAATCACGATCATTTTAAGGTATGCCATTTTGAAATCGGATGTCTGCAACAAAAGTTATGGGCTTAGAA